CTTTTTTTCGCCAGAAACTTTTCTAAAACATGCCGAGGTTTGATCTTATTTGAGACTACGACCTCACTAAATTATATAAAAGACAAGAAATGTCCACCAGTGATTGTATAACTGTGAAAACAAGTATATAACATTAAAAAATTCAGGTCACTCTTGTCTTTACATAATTTACTGAGGTTCTAGGACAAATGAAAGATTGAATATCTTTAGATGAGTTTCTGGAGTGAGAAAGGAAAAGTGAAGATGCTTTTTAGATACCGTATATTTCCGCAGATAAGATGAGGTATAAATTTTCATTAAAAGTTTTATAGTTTTAGCATATATCTGTTTTAAAAGACGACCCCAGATTTTGGGGGTCTTCTTTTATGATTCAATTATTGTTTTATCTGCGGAAATATACAGTATTCTATATTTGTATTTTTAACAAACTTTAGTGTTGATTTTTAAATGCTATGAGTTATCGTGTCGTAACTAGGGCGGTGCCAGTGGTGCCCAGACACAAGGCAGACTCTGGGGAGGGCACAGAAATGACCTGGGCCAAGTTTTGGGGCATAGTTACAGAAGCTTGCACTGGGCGCATAAAAGATTTTAAAGAAGAGGAGTTTATTATTAAACGTTTAAATGAAGAAAGACAGGAAGCAATTTCAACAATGAGCAATCTGCTCTTTGAAGATCTATTGTACTGCAACATTTTACTTAAATGAAACAGTACTTTAGGACTACGACAAAAGGTCCTTTTCAGGACCATACAATTTCGAAAAGAGTGATCCTATCACAGATAAAATAATTTTTTTTTATTTATTTTAAATAAAAATATTACTTAACGTAACCTATGTAACAAATATTCCTCGAAAGGATTTAAATTATGATTTTTCAATTTAAATTTATTTTGGAAATATATTTAATTTAATGTTTGTTGTACCAAATATTTGGTTTTCATACACTAAAATTAGCAGATTTATGTTGACATTTTATGTATTTGATGTGGTTAAAAACAGTTTTAAAGTCATTATAGAGTTTATTTATAGAAAGCTGAGCTAGAAATATAAATTAATGTCTTTATTTTATATACAAATTTCAAAATTTTGTTTAAAACTTACATTTTGGACTTAACACATTACTTAGATATAAAATATGAAAACTCCATATTGTAAAATAACTTATTTTCAATCCTTGATCTTCTACAGTCTGTTACAAAAGTATAGGAATACTTTTATATGAATATTTAAATTTTTTTTATAGAAAACAGTTTTGTATATGTTAAAACATATTTTTGTCAACAAATACTAATCAGTTTTACCTCCTCATCCATCCCATTTACCTCCAAAACCACCCCAAATCATTACAGACCCAGCCCCTTGTTGCCGGCTTATTTTAACTCTTCTTTCTCTTCTTAAATCATGCCAATAATATGAAAACCTATCAGGGTCATCTAAATTAAACTTTTTCTCATCACTAAACGTTGTTTCTTGCCATTCTTCAGTTCATACCATCTTGTCTTTAGCCCAGCGTAAATGCATTGATTTGTGTTTGGCAGTTAAAGGTGGTTTCAACTTCATTTTTAAATATTTTACATTGTCATTGTTTTTTAAAGTTCTCCAAACAGTCACATGAGATACGTCTATTGGTAATTCGGCAGCATTTTGCCTCGTTGACATGTTTTTATTAGTTATAAGCTTAAAATCTTCTCTCTCAGGGATGTTAAACATTTAGGCTGTCCTGACTTCCTTTTTTTGCCCATAATTTTTACCTTGTTGGAAAACGTTTCGAACAGCATTCGTACATCTATTTACAGCAGCAGGAATTTGCCTCAGAGACTTGTCTGAACCACTCAAATAATAAATTTTACGTATTTCTTGCTCCTGAAGTACAGTTCCACGAGGCATTGTTGAAAATGTTTATAAAACATTCAATAAAGCATTGAAAAAAGCCACCATGACAGTTAAAAATGATGACATCTCACTCTAGTCATGATAATTTTAATTATTATTATAATAAATTCATTTTTAACAGACTTATATTTTTGTAACAGACTGTAATATGTTCTAATTGATAAACAAAAGGTAGTGATTTTCACAAATAGTGCAAAAAGTGAGTTTTAATTTACTCAACAAGTATTAACCTTAATAACTCTATGTTAAGTTGTTCCGCTTCTTGCTTCTTCCTTTCTGTATGTTGTTTCATATTCTCTGTTTTTATGCCCTCCTCTATTAGCTGGATTTGGGCTTTCTCTAATGAGTTAATGCTATAAATATAATATGAATACAGTCAACCCCCTTATAACACTATTGATAATTCCGTTTTATATGAATTCCATGTTGTACGAGTCACTTAGATTTTACAAATACGTGTGCCGGGCTGTGAACGGCTGATGTATTTGTAAAATCTAAGTGACTCGTACAACATGGAATTCATATAAAACGGAATAATCAACAGTGTTATAAGGGGTCAACTGTATTCATTTGTAGCTGTAAGTGATTCAGTATTATTTTCATATGTAATGATAAGTGGTGATGGTGGATCATCCGGATTGGGTAACAGTTCAATACCATCACCCAAAACAGATAAAACATCAAGGGATTCAATGATAATGGTTCTGGTCCTCCACCTGTTATATGTGCAACACTTCGGTTATTATCTGCCTCTTTTTTTGGTGTCTATTTTTTAATCGCTTCCAGCATCCTATAACATAGATCATAAGATATACTTTTCTAGTAAACTTTTGCAAAAAGTAATTTTCATTGTAATACATTTAATTTAGGTGATTAATAATCATAACTTCCTATATACTTTTTATTAAAGTTTTGAATTATTATACTTTAATTAATATTATTAATGTTAAAAATATTAACTAACATCTTATAATCTGAAATGAATATTTTACATTCATACTTGCCTTTCAATTGTATTATTGTACGAGCTGCTCTACAGGGAAATGACGAGGAGAATTCGTTTTGAATCTTCTCCGATGCGGTTTTTTCACTCTAGAGTATGGTTTCCCTACCCCTTCTCTTCAACTATGAGATAATTTCTGCCAGGATGATCTTTTCTTCTTCTGAAAAATCCCTACACGTTTTCGACACAGTCCCCATGTTTCTGATGTCACACGATTTGATTGTCTGAACGACTCCTAAAACAGGAGAGTAACGGCGAAGAAAGTAAGAGCTAACGTTTTGCCGAGATCCGTTTAAATGGCATTCGGAAATAGACAATCGTCGTCTCTGCAACATATTTTAAACCGCGGTTCAGCCAGCCAATGTCTGTAGGCCGTTTGGCCATTAAATGTCGTTTAATGTAAATGCTTTCTCTGCAACCAGCTGCCAGTGTTCAGGGTATGAAGACCGCTTGGCCACTGGTGGGCCCCATTTCTTATGAGTTTACTTTCATTTGATCATTGATATAATGGGCAAAACTGTGGCCAATTATCTTATAATTTGTTGGCGCCTTATGCTAATGAGTGGGTCTATTGAACCAATTAATTTTTGTGTATGTTATATTATTAATTAATTAATTCTTTATTTATTGAAACACTACAATAAAAACTAACTAAGAATTAGATATTAACTACCACATTTTATTTTTATTTTGTTTTAATTAATCCTTTCATAGTTTAAATTTATTAAAATTTTCTTATTTTATTTTAGTTTTTTGGCGGAGTATAAATCTAAAAAAATGAAATTGTTTAAAATAATTGTACATTTTTAAAAAATTGCTTCAGATTTTAAGATTTTTTAAAAATATTTTATAAGCTAACTTAATTAATTTTTATGATACAACTCAGTGAATATAATTTTATTACTTTTTTACATCTTATAATCATTCTTTAGAATCTAAATTATATTCCGAGTGCTATACGGGGTGACTGAATAAAAAAATACTTTCAAGGAGTAGACTTGGTGTTACCACAAGCTTCACCTATAAGTTCCCACTGTCTTGTTCATCTGCCGTTCCTTAATCTTGAGAATGAAGTTAGACAAAAGACGAGACCAGATATGGAAACCTTAGGGACAGGAAGTCCCGATTAACTACATAAGAACTTTCGATACAAACCGGAAGTCTCATTATTTCAATTCAGAACTTCCCCCAAAAGGTGTTAGACAGATGATCGGCACGACTCTATTGTTAAACGAAGAGTATGATGTACAGGGGCAAGCCACTACTAATTTGAGGTGGAGAGAATATATTTTAAATGAAATAAATTAAAAATATGAATAAAAATCGCAGCTTGGCATTGTGACGACATTGCAATAAATAATTGCTCATTTACATTATTCGTTATGGGCAGGGCTGTGCAGTCGCGTAAAAATCTACCGACTCTGACTCCGACTCCGACTCTGACTTTTCCTTATCATCCGACTCTGACTCCGACTTTGGCTAAAACACCAAAACTCCACGACTCCGACTCCGACTCCGACTCCGACTCCGACTCAACAGCCCTGCCAGGGCTGTGGAAGTCGCGTAAAAATCTACTGACTCCGACTCCGACTCTGACTTTTCCTTACCATCCGACTCTGACTCCGGCTAAAACATCAAAACTCCACGACTCCGACTCCACAGCACTGGTTATGGGAAAAATACATTTGGTACTCAGACAGACTGACATTCGAGCAGCCTTCTGGAAGGAAGTTCAAGTACCGAGATGCCACTGTATATGATATATAATTAGAATATACTGTTCATTTGTGGCACTAGTGGCTACATCTCTAGTGGTGCAGGGGTGAACGTAGGTTTGCTTGTTCTAATTTGGGCACCCCCTAATATTGATTTGGTTCACATTATTGAAGTAAATATACTTTATTATTGTAAAATATAAGAGAGCTTAATTAATTGTACAGTTATTTTAACCAATTTCTTGTTTAACAAGTGAGTAACTTAAAACTTTTTAACATTTTTTTCTTACAAACAAATCTTTTGTTTATAAATTATATTGAAAGGATTGATTAATTATTGTTTTGATTATTAAATATTTTAATATTTATTTTTATTTTTCTTCCTTAAAGATACTAACAAACACTTTTCAGAGGAAAATAGTAAGAGAGAACAGGTATTTATTTATTTATTTTTTTTTATTCATTTTATAAATTAATTTTATAATCTAACAACAATTTTATTTGACACTGTTACTAAAAGTAAGTGATTTTCTATGTCACCATTGTTGTTCACACGTAAGACCAGTGAAACTAGGGGTGTGGGAGGAGCAAATGCTCTTCCTATCCTTTTTTCCTTTGTGCCTTCCTCATTTCAAAACCTGGCCATGCCACTATATAGGAGTTTTTCATATTCATGTTGGCTTTAGCCAGACCCACAATGGTGACTAGTGGCGAAGGAAAACTGATATGGCTGGGTCTGAATATCACGAAATTTCCGTGGATCTGATCTGGACTCAAACACTGATTAGTTTTTTATGGTTAGGTGGAAGTCAAGGTGCTCTCAGGGATCCAGGTTCAAGTCTAGATTAGATTCTTGAACATTTTCAGTTTGAATACATCTGCTTTGTCCCTTCGTCATTGTGAGCCTGGCCAAATTTATGGTAGGTATGACAAAAAGCTCTTCATACCTGTCCTGTTATCATCTTGTTTTGGCACCTACAAGGCAAGAGATAGAGAGAAAGACCATTTTTTCTCAGTTGTTTATGCAGTGTTTGTAAACAAAATTTAAAAGTTCTTATTCTTAATATAAAAGCGAATATATCAAATAGAAATTTTTAATAAAATAAATTAATTATTTTTCATTTCTAGGTATTTTGTGATCCCGTACATGGTCAGATAAGTTTTGATTCTCTATGTCTGAAGATCATAGACACGCAAGAGTTCCAGAGACTCCGATTTCTTAAACAACTCGGATTTGTTTATACTGTTTATCCCGGAGCCACTAATAATCGATTTGAACACTCTTTAGGGTAAGAGGACATAGACAAGTTATATTTACAAATGTAGATTTTCATTACAAAGGTACGCAGGTAAATGTGAATGTTTCACCTGGCTATATCTTGATTCTGCTACATAGTAGCTAAATACATGTGCATAAGAGTATGGGTAATCAAGAGTGGGCTATTTAATGGTGTAGTTGCTATGTACTCCCAATTGCCATTCTCGAGGGGCCAAATCCTATCTCCATTTATATGAAAAATAGTGGAGCAGTTTAAATTTAAGTCATAGAACATATGTAAATTAGTATAGAATGATTTTGGTGTAGTTAAGATATTCAAAGGTAAGTGGTTTGAAGAAATGTGAGCTTCTCTACATGGCCTCAAGCATGCAAAGCCATGCAGAAAATCTCACACAGTGTGACTATTCATTTTTTAATGATGTTCAGCCATTCTTTTTATCTTGACAAAGTAATGTTTTATATTAATTTTGGGATGCTTTATGGCTTTATAATTTAATTTGCCACTATACAGTATTTTATAACAGCCAAGATAGGATTTGTTCGCAAAACAAACTTGAGTTAAGGGTGCACAGTGGCTATGCAATTGAATAGCCCACTAACTGTACTCTCATCCACACATATTTAGCTAATACATGAGAGAAGCAAGGTAGCTTAGTGCAATGTTTTTATGGGTATATGTTAGGCTCAAAGACTGAAAACGACCACAATATGTTGTTTTCTCTTTAATTAAATCATCCACAATGCAAAATTCGCATCGTGACAGTTGTAAAAACAGCCACAATGTTTTGCTGCTAATTCTAAATAACCACAAAGCGAAATTACCACAACACATAGTGGTCAAATATCATGAAAGCCACGATGTGAGTTTTGAATTGTTGATGATTTAAAGAGACTACAAGGTGTTGCGGTTGCGTTTTTGGTTTTTGAGCCTAACATATACATCATATGCATTTGTAAAACTAGTTTCACATATACCATTTTCTTGTTTTTGTTTTCAATTAAGTTGAACATTACAAATTGTAGGGTGGCTTATCTGTCAAAACAATTTCTTCTGGAACTGCGGAACAATCAGCCCGATCTAGACATTACGGATGCCGAAATACGCTGCGTACAGATAGCCGGGTTGTGTCACGATCTCGGTCATGGTCCATTTTCTCACTTTTGGGAGATTTTCATGGAGAAATCTAAAGAAAAGAGAAAGAATGAAACTCAAAAGTGGAAAGTAAATATGACAGTTTTTGGAATAATTAAAAAGTTTCGTATCATTGATATCATAAATGTTGATTTTGTGTTTTTTAGCACGAAGATGCATCGATTAAAATCTTTAATTACATTGTAAAAAAGTACAATTTGGCTGATGAATTTAAAAAATTTGGAATTGATCAACATGGAATACAGTTTATCACCGATCTTATAGAAGGACGCACAGTAAATATATATATATAGATAATGCTTAAAGTTATATATATAGATAATGCTATTTGTTATAATTTCTTACAAAGGACCACTTTTTAATTTTATAGAGAGACAACAAACGAGCATTCTTATATCAGGTAAATTATAATTTAGTCTCTGTATTTTAAAAATATTCTTTTTAACATATATTTTCTCCTTTGAATAAGATATACAAGGTGCGTAGCAAAGTCTTTATACACTCACTTAACTGAACAATGCATGATATGAAAAAACAGTTACAAAGTTATAGTGTTCGACTGATTTACTATGAAAGGAATGCATATGTAAATAGCATGAAATGCTGACATGTATGTTGAGTACAGACAGTAAAATGTGTATATGTCTTTTGATTTATTCACGGTTACAAGAAATCGCCACATAGAGTCTCTCGAGTCTCCGTAGATATAACAAACACAGAAATAAATAACACAAAATAAATTGTAGCTATGCGTCGATTCCGCGCGACACGTTCGAACATGTAAGCTGAACAATAGTATGGGGGAGTGAGTAATCAAGAGTTGCCTGGCGCTCAAACAAAAGACGATTCGACGAGATTTGAAAATCGCGTAACTCTGGGTTCGCGTAAGTCGGGGTAGCGTAAGTCGAGGTATTACTGTATATTAAATTATAATTTTACTAATTTGTCTCTTACACTTACAATTTCCTTTGGAGATACTTTTAAGGTGCCACTCTGCGGTTCTTCATCCCTTTTCTTTTAAGTCTTCCTTTTCTTTATATTTCTTTAGATGTTCAGATACTTTCAAATTCAATAGACCCCCCTATAACACTGTTGATAATTCCGGGTTATATGAATTTCATGTTGTACGAGTCTCTTAGATTTTACAAATACGTGAGTTGTTCACAGCCTGGCACATGTATTTGTAAAATCTAAGTGACTCGTACAACGTGGAATTCATATAACCCGGAATTATCAACAGTGTTATAGGGGGGGTCTACTGTATAAAGTGAATAGTAATTAAAATTGCAGATAGACAAGTATGATTTAGGAAAGACTACTTAACTTAATCATGCCAGTTACACTAATGGAATTAAAAAAAGTTTTGATATTCATGGGCACCAAGAGGTTTATATTACACATTTTAAGTCATACCACACAAATTAATTTGATGCCAGTTTCTTATATGATTACATACAGTTCAGTATTTGTGTGTATGAGAAAAGCCTCCTGTTGCCATCAGGTACAGTACAATGCAAAAGGTATTACGAAAGCAGTCATGTAATGTTTACTGCCACTATTTTGGTTAAATAATTAGATTAATGCAGTGGTTTTTAATCAGGGTTCCACGGCACACTAGGCTGCTACAACAACACTTCAATGTTACTGCAAAATAGTGCTGAGCAGCACCATAACACTTATGTGTATTAATTGGGGATGACTACAAGTTCATGGCTTTTTGTGGAGAGGTAGCCGACTTTAAGCTTTTACCACAAAGCTTTTAATTTACTATTATCTAATGAAGTAAACAATATAAAGTTCACTAACCTTATGTATGCATTGAATGCAAGCGAGAAAACTGTTATTAGATTGGAATGTGTAGAAGACTTTCTGCACATTCTAATCTCTTATGTCAGCACCAGAAAGATTTGATTGACACTGACATTTAACTTTTTAATGTCCATATCCAAGGATGGCTCATTAACTGGGTTGAAAATGTTAGCATTTCTCTAATACTACCTGATGTTAAAGGTGCATTGCTTACTTTTATATGAGCTTAATCTGCAATAAATGTTTTACTGTGTAGAATTTATCATTGTCACAGTGTTATAAATCATTTAGACTATATTCAGGACCATTGAGAGGGAGGAGGAGAAGCTAGGGATTTTTTCTGGGCCTTGAGAAAACTTTAATTTAGGGTTATGTAATTGTTCCTGATATTGAATATCTATTGTTTCGTTGATAAAACTATTTACTTGAAATACCTTCAAATTAATAGTGTCTTACCCCTGCACATCATACTTTCCTGTTAGCAAGAGTCATGCTGATCATTTGTCTAACTTCAGGGGAAAATGGTCGAATTGAAATAAGGTGACTTCCGGTCCAAATTAGAAGTTCGTATGTGGTTAATTGGGGCATCTTGTCCTTAAGGTTTCCATATCTGGTCTTGTCTTTCATTCCTCTTACTCTGTTCTTGAGATTAAGAGACGGACAGACAGATGACAGTGGGAATTTATAGGTTTATAATATTTTGAAATTGCAGCCCAAAAAGTTTGAGAACAAACTTTTTATGTTTTATTTTATATTTTTCAGATAGTAAACAATGAAGATTCTGGACTGGATGTTGACAAATGGGATTATTATCTCAGAGACTGTCATTATCTTGGCATTAAGTGTGGATTTGAATATAAACGTCTCATGCAGTTTGCCAGAGTAATTGAAGTGAATGGAAAGAACATAATTTGTTTTCGTGATAAGGTAACAGGACTTAAATATCATAATTGATATAGGGGATATATTAAAGTCCTTTGTGTCAAAAAGCAATGGAAGTAGAAACGCGTTATGAAGAAAACCCAGTAAACTCCTTGTGGACATCCAATTGATGAGGCTGACAACCAACTATCAGGTTTTATTCACGTGGCCACTGGTAAACTATAAAGCAGATATAGTTCTTGCCTGTTATTCTGAGGTTCCAAGGCTTGAGTTTGAGTTGGATTTTCAGGAATTTTTATATAGAGTTGGATTGAATTAACAGATCCTCTTACTTTTTTAGTTGGAAAGAATGGTTTGTCTATGCACACAATTCTTTCCATTCCAATCTGTTGAGTTCTGTTTTTCACTAATCCAAGTGTTTTCATTGAAGATAAATGAGACTCAAGTTCAGATTCTCAGAAATTTGCATTTGATAAATTTTCAGGCTCTGTTCTTTTGTGAGTGATAAGGGCAAAATTAAGTTATAGAATGAAAGAATTTTGCGCATAAAAATTATATTTATTATGGATTCCAACGTCACAATACAACCCGACGGTATGAGATTACTACTATGACAATATTTAGATTAAAACGTACGGTACTGTTTCCGACTGTGATAACAGATAGGGCCCGACCTTAAAACTAATCTTATATGCTAACTTAATACTAGTGAAAGAGAAGAATAAAAGTAGAAGAATGAAGGAAGAATACATATGATAGGGACAGAAATACCTGGGATTTTTGTTGGTGTGTTCGAACTAATTGTACTGTCGGGTGGGATGCCACACGACGAATTCTTCTAATTTGACTTGTCGTCGTCTTCCTCTATAATTTATATTTTCTTTTCTAAATTCCTTTTTCGCTGTCGCCATACGAGAACCTTTTTCTTAACTTCGTTTCAATATCTCCGTTCGTTGCTTAAGCGACCCGGAGTGCTCACTCTCCACTTATGTACACCTCGTCGTTCTGTCCTCGAATGCCCTTTGTCTTTTCATCATTGTCCTAAGGGTCATTCTTTGTTCTTTCGTTTCCTGGAACTGGTCATCCCACTCAAGGGACAGGGATTAAGATAGGAAAGTTCTAGAAGGAGATGGAATAAAAGGATTTGTCCTTTTATTCCATCTCCTTCTAGATAGAAGGAATAAACTATACTAAACTTAAATTAATATATTAATATACACAAAATATAGCATACAGCTACACTTTATCATCTAGCAATGTGCTTATAAATGGCTGAGTAGATAACTCAGCCATTGTCTCATCAATAGGCTGCTCGTGTGGAATTTTCTGGGTTTTCTTTACATCTAACACTTAAATAGGGGCCAGTTTTTTCTAGAAAGCCTTCTAGGGATGCACCCAAGTGTTTTATTGCCTTATTCCATCAATCCAATTCCCTCTAGCAGTTCCATCGTAAGTTTTAAATTTTTTCAGTTAATATTATTGTAATTCTAAATTCTTTTACTCTCGTAAAGGTGATAAGCTCCATTTGTGGGATGTTTCGTACCAGAAGCGAATTACATCACGCTGCTTATCAGCATCGCATGGCAAAAAGAATAGATTTAGTGTAAGTTATAATGCTTGGAATGTATATTTTAATATGAATTTTAACATATTAATTATTTCTAATTTCAGTTTTTGCGATGCTTTAATTAAAGCTGACATCGACGGCATCGTACATGCACCGAATGGGTCAGTGAATTTTTAATAGTCTAATGTCAAGAATGATTAGAAGTTCTAAAGGAATTTTTTTTTATGCAGTGAACCTTTTAAATTTTATGATTGGACTAAGGCTTTGACTGAAAGTGCTGAAATTACTGAGGAAGTAATGACAAAATATTGTATGCTGAATGACGACATTGTTTACTTTGCCCTTAAATATTCGAACGACACGCAGATCGGAAAGGCCATAAAGATGATTGAGACACGTTTCCAGGATTCTAAATTGTATCGAACAGTGGCAAGATGGAAAATTACCGATGAAACCGAGAAAGTAATTAACATTTTTAGTACTTATGATTGATATTTTTACAACTAGAAGATATTGTTATAACTATTGGTAGCTTAATCCCTACATATTTAATAAACTATCCAGTTAATCTAAAGACCCTAGCATTACGTATCATTTTTGTAAACATCCTCCACTTCCTCATAATGGATTGTAACAATTACCTGCATATTCGCCAATCTGTATTTGCATTATGCAATTTATAGACATCTCCTAGATATCATTTCTGTCGTCAACACTCCTTTTAATGCTGATTTTGGATACGTAATAGCTAATCAAGACACTGAGAAGGCTTGGACAGTGGCACTTGATAATTCTATATTACATCTGTTCAAATTATATCCAAGCTTCTTACTCCTTAACCAATCGTTAAGCTCAGAAATAAACTTTAAGTTGCCAAAATCTAACGAGAATCAGTACATTTAACGAAAGTTAGCAATTGTTGAAGAGTAGAACATAGTGTGTATAAAAAGTTTTAAATACAGTTGTCCCTCTATAGTCTGACGTTTTTTAATCCGACATGCTTAGTAGTCCGACGCACCTCCCGTCAAGGTACCCATCCCCGTTATGTGTCTGNAAAAAATAGCAGGAAGCGGTTTAAACAATCCTTTCCTTTTCAGTATGGTTTATCTTGCAGGCAGTGCCACGCTGATAATCCTTCGTACCGGCACAAAATATAAATTAGCTTCCTACTTAAGCATTTCACAGTATGCCGGAGAAAATGAAAAAATGCAAAAATGGCAGACAGGCACGATTTTGTTTTCTGGCGCTACGTACATTTATACATTAATCGGTTCAGTCGTTTTTTCATTTTACACATTTAAGGCAGTAGAACAGGAGACAACTTGGATATGAGCTCTTTTCTGTTCCGTTTGTATTTATTACATAATGATTTTGCAAATAGGCCTACTAATGTGGAGTTGTACTGCAGTTGTAGTATCAAGCATAATGATGTACGAAAGATTCAATGCCACATCGCGGCAGTTGTATTTGGCTGTAAAACAAAATGCAAAATATGAAATTAACGAAATAATGCGAAAACACTTGTAAATCTGCGAATTTATTGATGAAATGAACGCTATATGGGGTAATTTTTACTTTGTTATCTACGGAATTGCCGTTTATATCGTATCGTTCTGTTTTTACAACACAATATTCACTACGTCAGCTACATACGTACGAATATTTCTTGTACTTTGCTTTATTTTGCGTGTGTTTGGTGGTATCGATTTCGTTTGTGGTTTCTCGTATCTTCACTTCGGTAAGTTCGAAACAATATAAATTTGAAATATTAATTTTTGTTAAGTGTAAAGTAAGTAATTGTCCATGTAATTACATGGACAATTACTATGGTCCTAATTAGTACGACCGTTAATTAGGTCCTAATTATGGTCCCGTTTGTAACCTGTATTTGTTTCCAAGACACCACGAGACACAGTCAGGATTTAGAATGAAAAGAACAAAATTTCAATAAATGAAAAAACACTCGTGTAAAGCTCAATGATACAGATAGCAGCTGTAGTTAATTCCTAGGGGCTAGCCATGAGGTTCAAAGCAATTAATTATATGAAATGTGGATGCTACAATTAGTAGACAAAGTGTTGTCACATTGGACAAATTCTAGCTCTATAGCCAGGTTATTCTATGAAACAACAAATATATAAACACAGAGGCAGACGAGACGCTTCAATAAGGAGGTTAACTCCGCTTGTAGAGACTGTTTGTTTTGAGAAAGACAGGAGGCAAAGCATTTCTTCTAAATGAAGATTAAATGATTCTACAAAATATTGTTATATATATATATATATAAACACAATATACTTAATAGATATAATGCTGGTTGTTAGTAAAAGAAAAAGAAAGGAGAGAGACAGTGACAAAGCAGCATAGAACAGTGTTGGCAAATGTGGTCTGGTAGACGAACAAAGATGATATCATTACTGTGGAGTATCAAAATTCCTGTTAGCACCTCTCATATTTCATATATATCTGGCCTGGACCAATCAATGGGATTTCCATGATGACATCTTGGTCTATTCTTTTAGGGTGAGGGACAGATATGTGTTTATCTATTGCCAATGAAATAGGAAACAGGAAGTGGTAACAGGGATAAACAATGAATAAAAATGGGAAAGGAAACAAAGGAATTTTGGGAAGAACAAAGAAAAAATTGGCTGGGAAACCAAAGGAACAAGAAACCAAATAATTATACATAAATTTTTCGCCTCTTATAATATTGGATCACAGTCTATTAGTATTAGTATTTGGAATGGAGTGATTTTCTATGTTACTCTCTTCTGTGTACACTACAAATAATATCTAGAAAATTAATTTTTAATGTTTAAAATAAAAATCTAAGAAATTATAATGAAGGCAATCTATAAAGAAATAAGTTAAAGTAGTGTTCCTCCCAAAAAATTTTAGAATGAAGTTAAAGAACAGCTTAATGGACATTTAAGAGAATCCCATTCTAATGAGGAAAACAAGTTGCAGAGACAAAACATATCCACAGAAGATTTTATCATTCAGGTAATGAAATCTTATAATTACACATAGAATTTTTGATTAATATACTCTCATTTTAACTCGATTTATTAACATGTTTTCTGCCAGTTTATGCGATTTTTCATTATATGAAAGTTACGTGACTATGTCAATTGGCAGCAAATACGTTAACTACAGACAATTTTTATACTATATGCCATTTTTCTGGTATAAGGGTGCGACTATGCAGACACGAAATTAGAGCGAGCGAGAGGTTGCGAGCAATTTAGTTTTTGCAAAGGAAAACCATGCACAAACGAGAAGCGAGAAATAACACTTGGCAAGAGCGAATTTCTGGTTCTCGCACATATCTGATAGGTTTTGATATTTATCGCGTCTCGCCTCTTCTCGCCACATATTCTCGCTCGCTTGGAAAATTCGCTTGCTCGTATCTGCATAGTCGCACCCTAACTGTGTTCTGGGAGGATCTTTAATGAAGAATACTCTAATCTCACCACTATACTATTACTTTCTAGCCTATCTTACTAATCATCAATTGTTAGCTGTAGTGTTTATGTGAAATCTCTCCTATCTTTTGGAATAATTATCGATTTAAGCTTTCATTTAAATCACCACGTGTGGCAAGTGCACGATGATGATAATTTGGCATGTGATTTGTTGCTTGGTTTATTGTGTTTTATTAGTGCGAAGCCACTCGGGCCATGCTGTGCCATGCACCAGGATTTTAAACATAAATGGTTACATTTAAAGAAATAAATGCTGCAGGTTGCAAACATAATTCAATTAGAATATTACCTGAATTATATCTTGTTTATATCAATTAACCTACAATGAAATTGGTTTGTTGTATTTTCAAAGAACTTAATCAACGTGTATTTGTGACATTTAAAAAGTCAATAATTACGTCCAAAATTGACTCGTGGCCCAGACTTTCCAGTAGATTTATGTTATTGCTAAAATGCTTGACATGGATTTTGTTAAACTCACAACATTCTATGTGCATTTAATGCTTAGAACACTCTGGTCGACGCGATTTTCGGCACACAGAAGAGTGAAATTGTGTCGAATAGAACTTTTTGTATTGATTTCAAATATGGGATTGAAATTTTTCTATCACACTCTGATTTTCTGTAATCGTAGACTTAAATTTTCGCTCTATGTCTGGTGGTCTACAGAAACTTTCCCGCGACTCTTGCAGGGGGAAGGAGCAAAGGTGGGATCTATTTAACAAGTTTGTTTTAACAACTTGTTAACCAAATAGCAGACTAATGAAAACTTGTGTAAAATGTCTGACAGAGTTGGCGAAAGGCTGTCCTTGACATTTAAGCTTTGCGGTACCATTGTCTGGTGTGAACCACAAGATCATGTTATAGACTGTTATTTTTGTTTGACAGCTATAAATGCTTCTCAACTGAAAAGTTGGAATTTACTTCATCAGACAACTAAGGTGTTTTTCTTTTGTAATTGTCAAGAAGATTTTCAAGATTACTATTGTGAAGCTGGAGTTTTTGTGGGCCCACAAATAAGAACTTTAAGTAAAGATGAAAAATTTGGAAGCTTGTTAAGCACTGTTGAAAAGTCAGCATGGAAGTCATTCAAAGATATTGCTCACACAAGAATCACAAAGCTCCAAATTACTGCTAAATTGTGAATGGGCTCTTACAATCTCGCAAAGATATGGGATGTAAAATGTCCCTCAAAATTCATTTCTTGGATTCCCACTTGGATCTCTTCCTCGATAATCTTGGTGCCGTTACTGAGGAACATGGAGTGTTTCCTCAAGACATCTCTATCATGGAAAAGATGTATCAAGGCCAGTGGAATTCGAGAGTGCTTGCTGATTAATGTTGGACACTCGAGGGATTCTTCAAATGCCAGACATAGCAGAAGCTCTACATCTCACCATTTAGATAAGATAAATAAATATGTTTTACATTTAAACTGGCTGTCACAAAAAAACCAGAACTGATGGAGAAAAACTGTTTATATATTTGAAAACATCATAAAAAATTCTATTAGGATCAGGTCTTTTCATTTTTGTGCCAAAAAAAAAGCTTTCATTTTGTTCTCCTGTGACATTGTCACAGGCTTGAGGATGTACAGGCTGTACCTCACCCTTCGAAAGATTTTGAAGTCAGGCAAATCTGTCCAATTCTTAATCTGCCGAGGATAATTTTGCATCTGTCGTATGCTACATCAGATGTCCAATTTTCTATCACTACTTTTATCTTGTAGAGTTTATTGTGGATTTGTTTATTCCACATATTTTGTGTTATCCACTAATCGCTTCTTAACTACGGTTTCAAGTATTCCCTTCAATGGATTTTTTTTGTGGTGCATGGAGCTTACCGAGCAGTAATGCCTACTATTTCATTTTTTCTTATATCGGCATGACCTAGGACCTGACGGATTTCTGCTCAGTGCTGTTTATAAATGCAGCTGCGATAGAATCTTTACTATATCACTGTAAAATAAGGTAAACTGAGATGCAAAATGGTGACCGAGATGGGACGGTATAAATTCGAGGCTGATATGTTATCTGTTTCCAGTCAGTTGTGTTGATTAGCTTCTTCATTCGTAAGCCAAATGCAGCAAAGTAGAATGGACAACTCTATATAATTTTACTTCATTAATCACTCTATACCATATAAGTAGATGGTTGAATCTGTATGTAATTCACAACTGTGACAAAGATGGATGCATGAGGTCTTCTTGGCATTAAAACTGAAGCCATTCTTATTAGACAGTGGTGTAGCTCTTTCAGTCTCGTACTATTGGCCATACAGGATCTCTGAAAGTCATTAGCATATAAATAATACTTCACAGCAGCTGGTAGACAGTTAGCTGTGCCATTGATTTCTTTATGAGGAATAGAGTAACACTTCAAATAGACTTCTGAGGGCACCTTCTTGTACACAATGCTTTGATAAAATAGTGGAATCTTACTTGAAATCTTTAATTCCATAAGAAATTTTCATAAATATTGGTAAATACTGGTTCCACCATGGTTTTGGTTTTGGCAGTAGATGCTTTTGTTGAAACATGGAGGTATGCTACTTCTCCTGTATTAAATGATACGTATGACGATCTGATATAACTTTTTCAATGGCTTGCGCCCGAGTATTTACATTGAGACTGCCTGTTATTGGATCGAATTAAATTGTATTCAACTCTTGCATCAGGTAGAAAACACATATTACAAACAGTAATGGTTGTACCAAATGAAATACTAACAGTGACAGCATGCAGTCCTGTATTTATTGATACTGACAAAGATGGAATGTGGTTTGTTATATCAATATTGCTACATATCCATTATTAAGATTATAACTATCACCAACTTTGTAGTGGATATTAAAAATCTTTAATGATAATGTACGTTCAAGTTTGAAATGTCTTTTCCAGAGGGCTATGGATGGATGGGTTGGAAGATGTTAGTAGTTTAATATCAGAGCAATTGTTACAGTTTCTTTGAATTGTTTTCTAAGTCCATTATGTATTTGATGCATCAGTTTTGGTAATGGTATTTAATTTTATAGGTGAGAAATGCACTTATTATTTTGGAAGTGGTTATGCTTATGTCACCTTAGTGCTTTTCTCTTCATCGAAAATATCAGAAAAGTCACTCGTAGATCAAGTTTTTGATTTTGATACTTTAGACTGGCACGGCTTATACTCTTTTGTTCGTTTAGTGGGGTTTTGTTAACTGTTTTAAACCTCCAATCTTGATAGTTTTACTTGATTTTGCTGAAAACTGTGATGTTCTAATTGTATCTGTTCTGTTCTTGGCTTAGACCGTTTTACCGCACAGGTTTTTGTGGATTTTTATATAAGGGCGTATGACATCTGAATTTTTGGTTTAGATGGAGTAACTATTTCACGTGCCTCCTCATAAGTATTGCTGAGTGTTTTTACACACTGAATCTCTGTTTTTTGCTGCCATGTAGGATAAAAATGAGAATGTGCGGGATGAACATTTGTACAATTAACATAATTTTGTCTTTCAGTTCAAATTAAATCAGTCTTTTATTTCATGTACTATGCATGCCCATTGCCACAGGGTACAACTGGGCTAATAAATACATGAATACAAAATATAATTCTCTGAAAATCTTTATTATGCAGATAAATACATCAGCAGACTGCATTACACTAACAAAATTTATATTTTAAAAGAATATGAATTAGAGTCTCACCACAATTACAAATCTGAAGCAAGGTGCACAGAGATTACTGACTGAGAAATGCAGAACTAGAAGATCTTATGCAGGCCAGAGAAAAGTGAATATGAAAAGATATAATTAAAAAAAAAACATGAAGTACAGTACAATAATCAAAACTGATAAGAATGAAAAGAAAATTTGTGGAACATAAAGAGCAATCAGAACAAACCATCTCAAGACATATATGTGGAATTGATAAATAGATAACAGTTATATACAATACACACTTAAATACCCATAACATTGCAGTGTTGTGACCTCACTGTACATCAGGATTTATGAACTACAGTTCTTATATTATAACTGTCAATGAGTTGTTGGAATTGATAATAAATGTCCTATAAGGCACTGGGTCACCTCTGCATTTGGGCTGAAGTATTTGGCTTTTTTAAGATACACAATGGAAGGTGTGAAATTGTGACATACCCTTCCTGTATTAGTACAGTTCCACTCCTTCTGCCACATATCGTTGGCTATGTGTTGTAGTTGGTGTTTCAGGGAGATTGCAGGTAACTTCTTGTAGGTGGGTTTTGAATATAATGTGCAGGCTGATTTGGCCAACTTGTTGGCCAATTCATCACCTTTGTGGACCTTGTGAGCTGAAATCCAACTAAACTGTAGGTTACAATTTTTTCCCAGGTTCTGAGCAATCTTTATCACTTCAGCAGCTAGAACAAATGGGTTCTTTCGGTAGTTTAGAATATTAAGGGCTACTTTATTGTCCATAATGATGTAAATGTTACTGTTATAATATATATGGTGATTGTCTATGTGATGAATTGCCTTGCAAATGGCCCATAGCTTGGCCTGAATGACAGTACAGTGGGTTGCCAACTTAAGGTGTGCATGGTATGTCTTATGACCATTCTTATGGAGGATGACAATACCAGACCCTGTCCCATGTTCACTCTTTGAGCCATCGGTATATATATATATACAGTGGTGATATTCAGCGGGTTCGCACAGGTTCGGCCGAACCCGTTGTTAACATTTTCAAAGTTTTCCGAACCCGTTGTTAAACACACGTAACATTTCTCAGTGATTTTGTTTCTTTTAAAAAATATGTTAAAATATACGTATTATACTCTGTAACACTACTAAACTAGAGCCTTATACCCTGTTCGCCTNTGAATCTCCCCATCCAATTCTTACTCGATGACACACATTTCGTGTGTTTTATGTGAGCAGTTCTGTTCGAACAGTTGGAGTAGAGAATATTGTAAGTTACTGCTAGCAAAACAATGCAAAATATGTAATTATTTTCGGTAATCCGGACACTTTTGGTAATCTGACACACATTTGGTCCCATACTTGTCGGATTATCAAGGGACAACTGTATATTTAAATTAAAAACAAAGAAGTTAAAACTATAATATAAGCTTTGTTTAATTTTAGGATGAAGTTAAAAGAAAACTTATTCAATACATAAAACGCTATCCCGAAAAGACACGTGAAATGGGCGAACCAAATCAAACAGGTTCTAATATTACTTGTAATGGAAATTTCATTATTCAGGTAATTAATCTTTTTAATTATTTAATATAACATGACAATTAATAAATTTTTATTATTTTTAAACATAAAATTGATGAATGTAAACATCACAGCAGAGAAAGAGTTAACACGTTAACCGCTATCCAACACGCCGGCGGTTGTAGTAGTTAGGGCTGTTCAGAGCCATACAACCGCTAGCGATCGGAGCCAACTTTATAGATGTGCGCGAGAGGCCACCAGTAGGATGTAAAATAATGTCTTACAAAACCGGGATAATTTAACCTCGAGTGAAACTACATTGGTCATAGCGACGTCAGGTGGTCGGATTGCTCCGTATGGTCCTAATTAGTAAGACCGTTGGCGCATCAGATAGCAGTTAATGTGTTAAATATCGGAATTTCAATAAATGAAAAAACATACGTGTAAAGCTCAATGATAGATACCAGCTGTAGTTAATTCCTAGGGGCAAGCCACGAGGTTCAAAGCAATTCATTATATGAAATGTGGATGTTACAATTGGTAGACAAAGTGTTGTCACATTGGACAAATTCTAGCTCTATAGCCAGGTTATTCTATGAAACAACAAATATATAAACACAGAGGCAGACGAGACGCTTCAATAAGAAGGTCGACTTCGCCTGTAGAAACTGTTTGTTTTGTGAAAGACAGGAGGCAAAGCATTTCTTCTAAATGAAGATTAAATGATTCTACAAAATATTGTAATATATATATATAAACACAATATACTCAATAAATATAATGCTGGTTGTTAGTGAAAGGAAAAGAAAGGAGAGAGACAGTGACAAAGCAGCATAGAAGAGTGTTGGCAAATGTGGTCTGGTAGACAAACAAAGATGATATCGTTACTGTGGAGTATCAGAATTCCTGTCAGCACCTCTCATATTTCATATACATCTCACCTGGGCCAATCAGTGGGATTTCCATGATGACATCTTGGTCTATTCTTTTAGGGTGAGGAACAGATGTGTGTTTATCTATTGCCAATGAAATAGGAAACAGGAAGTGGTAACAGGGATAAACAATGAATGAAAATGGTAAACGGAACAAAGGAATTTTGGGAAGAACAAACAAAAATTGGCTGGGAAACCAAAGGAACAAGAAACCAAATAATTATACATAAACACGCCTCTTATAATATTGGATCACAGTCTATTAGTATTAGTATTTGGAATGGAGTGATTTTCTATGTTAAAAAAACCTGTGCAAAACAGAAACCTGCCAAACTGGAAAAGATATTCAGAAAAAGATTTTACTAGTGATTCATATTTATTTGAAGAATACAGTATATGAATCACTAGCATAATATTGTATAGTGATTTGTATTTCTTAAATAAATATGAATCACGCCATGATGTTTGAGTTACTCTCTTCTGTGTACACTACAAATAATATCTAGAAAAATTTTTATTTTAATGTTTAAAATAATAATCTAAGAAATTATACTGAAGGCAATCTATAAAGAAATAAGTTAAAGTAGTGTTCCTCCCAAAAAATTTTAGAATGAAGTTAAAGAACAGCTTAATGGACATTTAAGAGAATCCCATTCTAATGAGGAAAACAAGTTGCAGAGACAAAACATATCCACAGAAGATTTTATCATTCAGGTAATGAAATCTTATAATTACACATAGAATTTTTGATTAATATACTCTCATTTTAACTCGATTTATTAACATGTTTTCTGCCAGTTTATGCGATTTTTCATTATATGAAAGTTACGTGACTATGTCAATTGGCAGCAAATACGTTAACTACAGACAATTTTTATACTATATGCCATTTTTCTGGTATAAGGGTGCGACTATGCAGACACGAAATTAGAGCGAGCGAGAGGTTGCGAGCAATTTAGTTTTTGCAAAGGAAAACCATGCACAAACGAGAAGCGAGAAATAACACTTGGCAAGAGCGAATTTCTGGTTCTCGCACATATCTGATAGGTTTTGATATTTATCGCGTCTCGCCTCTTCTCGCCACATATTCTCGCTCGCTTGGAAAATTCGCTTGCTCGTATCTGCATAGTCGCACCCTAACTGTGTTCTGGGAGGATCTTTAATGAAGAATACTCTAATCTCACCACTATACTATTACTTTCTAGCCTATCTTACTAATCATCAATTGTTAGCTGTAGTGTTTATGTGAAATCTCTCCTATCTTTTGGAATAATTATCGATTTAAGCTTTCATTTAAATCACCACGTGTGGCAAGTGCACGATGATGATAATTTGGCATGTGATTTGTTGCTTGGTTTATTGTGTTTTATTAGTGCGAAGCCACTCGGGCCATGCTGTGCCATGCACCAGGATTTTAAACATAAATGGTTACATTTAAAGAAATAAATGCTGCAGGTTGCAAACATAATTCAATTAGAATATTACCTGAATTATATCTTGTTTATATCAATTAACCTACAATGAAATTGGTTTGTTGTATTTTCAAAGAACTTAATCAACGTGTATTTGTGACATTTAAAAAGTCAATAATTACGTCCAAAATTGACTCGTGGCCCAGACTTTCCAGTAGATTTATGTTATTGCTAAAATGCTTGACATGGATTTTGTTAAACTCACAACATTCTATGTGCATTTAATGCTTAGAACACTCTGGTCGACGCGATTTTCGGCACACAGAAGAGTGAAATTGTGTCGAATAGAACTTTTTGTATTGATTTCAAATATGGGATTGAAATTTTTCTATCACACTCTGATTTTCTGTAATCGTAGACTTAAATTTTCGCTCTATGTCTGGTGGTCTACAGAAACTTTCCCGCGACTCTTGCAGGGGGAAGGAGCAAAGGTGGGATCTATTTAACAAGTTTGTTTTAACAACTTGTTAACCAAATAGCAGACTAATGAAAACTTGTGTAAAATGTCTGACAGAGTTGGCGAAAGGCTGTCCTTGACATTTAAGCTTTGCGGTACCATTGTCTGGTGTGAACCACAAGATCATGTTATAGACTGTTATTTTTGTTTGACAGCTATAAATGCTTCTCAACTGAAAAGTTGGAATTTACTTCATCAGACAACTAAGGTGTTTTTCTTTTGTAATTGTCAAGAAGATTTTCAAGATTACTATTGTGAAGCTGGAGTTTTTGTGGGCCCACAAATAAGAACTTTAAGTAAAGATGAAAAATTTGGAAGCTTGTTAAGCACTGTTGAAAAGTCAGCATGGAAGTCATTCAAAGATATTGCTCACACAAGAATCACAAAGCTCCAAATTACTGCTAAATTGTGAATGGGCTCTTACAATCTCGCAAAGATATGGGATGTAAAATGTCCCTCAAAATTCATTTCTTGGATTCCCACTTGGATCTCTTCCTCGATAATCTTGGTGCCGTTACTGAGGAACATGGAGTGTTTCCTCAAGACATCTCTATCATGGAAAAGATGTATCAAGGCCAGTGGAATTCGAGAGTGCTTGCTGATTAATGTTGGACACTCGAGGGATTCTTCAAATGCCAGACATAGCAGAAGCTCTACATCTCACCATTTAGATAAGATAAATAAATATGTTTTACATTTAAACTGGCTGTCACAAAAAAACCAGAACTGATGGAGAAAAACTGTTTATATATTTGAAAACATCATAAAAAATTCTATTAGGATCAGGTCTTTTCATTTTTGTGCCAAAAAAAAAGCTTTCATTTTGTTCTCCTGTGACATTGTCACAGGCTTGAGGATGTACAGGCTGTACCTCACCCTTCGAAAGATTTTGAAGTCAGGCAAATCTGTCCAATTCTTAATCTGCCGAGGATAATTTTGCATCTGTCGTATGCTACATCAGATGTCCAATTTTCTATCACTACTTTTATCTTGTAGAGTTTATTGTGGATTTGTTTATTCCACATATTTTGTGTTATCCACTAATCGCTTCTTAACTACGGTTTCAAGTATTCCCTTCAATGGATTTTTTTTGTGGTGCATGGAGCTTACCGAGCAGTAATGCCTACTATTTCATTTTTTCTTATATCGGCATGACCTAGGACCTGACGGATTTCTGCTCAGTGCTGTTTATAAATGCAGCTGCGATAGAATCTTTACTATATCACTGTAAAATAAGGTAAACTGAGATGCAAAATGGTGACCGAGATGGGACGGTATAAATTCGAGGCTGATATGTTATCTGTTTCCAGTCAGTTGTGTTGATTAGCTTCTTCATTCGTAAGCCAAATGCAGCAAAGTAGAATGGACAACTCTATATAATTTTACTTCATTAATCACTCTATACCATATAAGTAGATGGTTGAATCTGTATGTAATTCACAACTGTGACAAAGATGGATGCATGAGGTCTTCTTGGCATTAAAACTGAAGCCATTCTTATTAGACAGTGGTGTAGCTCTTTCAGTCTCGTACTATTGGCCATACAGGATCTCTGAAAGTCATTAGCATATAAATAATACTTCACAGCAGCTGGTAGACAGTTAGCTGTGCCATTGATTTCTTTATGAGGAATAGAGTAACACTTCAAATAGACTTCTGAGGGCACCTTCTTGTACACAATGCTTTGATAAAATAGTGGAATCTTACTTGAAATCTTTAATTCCATAAGAAATTTTCATAAATATTGGTAAATACTGGTTCCACCATGGTTTTGGTTTTGGCAGTAGATGCTTTTGTTGAAACATGGAGGTATGCTACTTCTCCTGTATTAAATGATACGTATGACGATCTGATATAACTTTTTCAATGGCTTGCGCCCGAGTATTTACATTGAGACTGCCTGTTATTGGATCGAATTAAATTGTATTCAACTCTTGCATCAGGTAGAAAACACATATTACAAACAGTAATGGTTGTACCAAATGAAATACTAACAGTGACAGCATGCAGTCCTGTATTTATTGATACTGACAAAGATGGAATGTGGTTTGTTATATCAATATTGCTACATATCCATTATTAAGATTATAACTATCACCAACTTTGTAGTGGATATTAAAAATCTTTAATGATAATGTACGTTCAAGTTTGAAATGTCTTTTCCAGAGGGCTATGGATGGATGGGTTGGAAGATGTTAGTAGTTTAATATCAGAGCAATTGTTACAGTTTCTTTGAATTGTTTTCTAAGTCCATTATGTATTTGATGCATCAGTTTTGGTAATGGTATTTAATTTTATAGGTGAGAAATGCACTTATTATTTTGGAAGTGGTTATGCTTATGTCACCTTAGTGCTTTTCTCTTCATCGAAAATATCAGAAAAGTCACTCGTAGATCAAGTTTTTGATTTTGATACTTTAGACTGGCACGGCTTATACTCTTTTGTTCGTTTAGTGGGGTTTTGTTAACTGTTTTAAACCTCCAATCTTGATAGTTTTACTTGATTTTGCTGAAAACTGTGATGTTCTAATTGTATCTGTTCTGTTCTTGGCTTAGACCGTTTTACCGCACAGGTTTTTGTGGATTTTTATATAAGGGCGTATGACATCTGAATTTTTGGTTTAGATGGAGTAACTATTTCACGTGCCTCCTCATAAGTATTGCTGAGTGTTTTTACACACTGAATCTCTGTTTTTTGCTGCCATGTAGGATAAAAATGAGAATGTGCGGGATGAACATTTGTACAATTAACATAATTTTGTCTTTCAGTTCAAATTAAATCAGTCTTTTATTTCATGTACTATGCATGCCCATTGCCACAGGGTACAACTGGGCTAATAAATACATGAATACAAAATATAATTCTCTGAAAATCTTTATTATGCAGATAAATACATCAGCAGACTGCATTACACTAACAAAATTTATATTTTAAAAGAATATGAATTAGAGTCTCACCACAATTACAAATCTGAAGCAAGGTGCACAGAGATTACTGACTGAGAAATGCAGAACTAGAAGATCTTATGCAGGCCAGAGAAAAGTGAATATGAAAAGATATAATTAAAAAAAAAACATGAAGTACAGTACAATAATCAAAACTGATAAGAATGAAAAGAAAATTTGTGGAACATAAAGAGCAATCAGAACAAACCATCTCAAGACATATATGTGGAATTGATAAATAGATAACAGTTATATACAATACACACTTAAATACCCATAACATTGCAGTGTTGTGACCTCACTGTACATCAGGATTTATGAACTACAGTTCTTATATTATAACTGTCAATGAGTTGTTGGAATTGATAATAAATGTCCTATAAGGCACTGGGTCACCTCTGCATTTGGGCTGAAGTATTTGGCTTTTTTAAGATACACAATGGAAGGTGTGAAATTGTGACATATCCTTCCTGTATTAGTACAGTTCCACTCCTTCTGCCACATATCGTTGGCTATGTGTTGTAGTTGGTGTTTCAGGGAGATTGCAGGTAACTTCTTGTAGGTGGGTTTTGAATATAATGTGCAGGCTGATTTGGCCAACTTGTTGGCCAATTCATCACCTTTGTGGACCTTGTGAGCTGAAATCCAACTAAACTGTAGGTTACAATTTTTTCCCAGGTTCTGAGCAATCTTTATCACTTCAGCAGCTAGAACAAATGGGTTCTTTCGGTAGTTTAGAATATTAAGGGCTACTTTATTGTCCATAATGATGTAAATGTTACTGTTATAATATATATGGTGATTGTCTATGTGATGAATTGCCTTGCAAATGGCCCATAGCTTGGCCTGAATGACAGTACAGTGGGTTGCCAACTTAAGGTGTGCATGGTATGTCTTATGACCATTCTTATGGAGGATGACAATACCAGACCCTGTCCCATGTTCACTCTTTGAGCCATCGGTATATATATATATACAGTGGTGATATTCAGCGGGTTCGCACAGGTTCGGCCGAACCCGTTGTTAACATTTTCAAAGTTTTCCGAACCCGTTGTTAAACACACGTAACATTTCTCAGTGATTTTGTTTCTTTTAAAAAATATGTTAAAATATACGTATTATACTCTGTAACACTACTAAACTAGAGCCTTATACCCTGTTCGCCTTATACCCTGTTCGCCTTATACCCTGTTCGCCTTATACCCTGTTCGCTTGACCGCTCGGCCGGATGGCCGAGCGGTCAAGGTGGCAGCCTACCGCTCTGGGGGACCCGGGCTCGAATCCGAACGGGTCGAAAATTCCTCAGGAATTTTTCGGGGTTGATCCGTTCGGATAAGTCGGGCCCCGTCCCTCACCACCCGGCAGCCCATAATGGCCGAACCCATAATGGCTTGCAAAAAGAGCCCTCTTAGTGCCCACAGGGTGGAAAGAGTTTAAAAAAAAACCCTGTTCGCCTAGTGCAACCTCCATCAACCATTTCAATCTCGACTAAAACGAGGTTCAATCGCGATCGACTCGAGAGAGTTCTCGAATGTAGATCCAGTCGTAAGAGAGATCCCACAATACCACGCGTGCGAGAACATACAAGATGGCTGCGGAGCACGTGTCGGACTGTCAACAGCGAAATAAGAAAGATATTGTATTTCGAGAGACGATGACATCTGTCTATTATTATAATAATACCTAACGATAAAATAAATGATTTAGAAAAGTTTTTCTTGTTTAACTGCTTTCCCCATGACTTTTTCTGATTAGAAAAAAAAAGCCAATTTTTATGTTTATAAAATATTTTGAATGAAAAATATTAAAATATGTACAAAATAAACCATTTTGAACACTCTTTTTTATTATTTATAAAAAAAAAATAGTTCTGGCATAAACAATGTTAAATTTTAACTGAATTAATTTTGCGAACGCATCTTTTTTTATTTATATGGATATCTTAAGGTCAGTTTTTGCGCTAATGTTGCTAATGCACCATTTGAGCAAAAAAAAAAAAATTGTTAAGGAAAAATTTTGTTAGCGAACCCTTTGTTAAATATTTCGAATATCACCATTGTATATATATACCAGTTAGTGCAATTGTGCATGGTTTTATCAAAGTTCATATTTACTTTATAATTGTTTATGTTACTTGGGTGCTGTTGGAATTTGTTCTTCGCAATGGTTCTGTCCAATCTAGAGTCTTTGATTTGGTTTACAAGATCCAGGCAGTCTTCTGGAAGACCACTGTTAGTAATATGATGCTGTATTTTATTGTCTGTCCAGTTATTAAAGTCAGTCTTATGAGGGACTGTATCAAGTTTCCTTGGATGTGTATGGGAGTTATCTTGGCCATTAAGAGGAGGGCATTAGTGGCTGCCGTCCTATAAGATTTAAATATTTTAATTGTGAATTTCTTCTGTAAGGAGAGGAGTTTGTGTTGTACATGAGTGTTTTTAGTGCCTCATACCAAACAGGTAGAGTGTAGATAATAGCCGATTCAATTACCGCCTTGTAGATAAGACGACAGTTAGTTGGGTTTATTCCTCAGTAGTTTTCAGTAATCCATGCAAGTAGGTTGCTTTTTCATTTGATCCTCTATTAGAGAGTATTAATGTGATGATGCCAATTGAAGTGTTTGTTGAAGTAAATCCCCAGATACTTCAGTTCACGAGCCACTTTGATTTTGTTATTATTGATGAATATGCTTGGATTACGTTTTAATTGGCTTTGTTTATTTTTCTTTGTGAGTACAAGTGCCATGCATTTCTCAAAGTGGATGAGGAGCTTATGTGTCTTGCTCCATTTATAGATGTTTTTTACGGATTTATTAGTGGTTTCGGTCAGGTGGTCAGTTTTTGTTAGCTACAAGGAGGAGAAGATCATCTGAATATGCCTGGATCATTACATCATTGTTGTGTGGGAAGGAGCACAGAAGATCGTTGAAGGCCAGGTTCTATAGGTCAGGCCTGCACGGAGATCACTGTGGGCAGCCCCGGTTTATTAACCTCCTAACTGAGAGAGTATTTGTAGCAAGTATCGCTTGCCTTTTTGAGAAATAACTTTGAAGGAATACAAAAAGGTTTTTTGGACATTTAGTTTGCATAAGGTGGTTGAAGATGCTTGGCCACCAAAGTGGTCAAAAGACTTTTGGAAGTCTATACTGACCATAATCCCATGTTTGTTTTTGGACCATGCCCTATTTATAAATTCTTTTGCTGTCAGAAGTGAGTCCGTTCAAACCTTCCTGGGCACGAAACCAAATTGATTTGGGTGTTGGTTGTTTGTTTTGTGTAAATGCCAGTTTATCCTGTTAATCAGGAGGCCGTCCAGGATCTTTACCATAACAGGTAGAAGTGTAATTGGTTTGTAGTCTTCTGGGGTATTTCGGCAGTCACATTTAGGGATTAATTTGATGTTCCTGGCCTTCCAAGCTTTAGTGAAATATCCAATCCTTAGGCACTCGTTTTACAAATGAACAAAAGCAATTGGAATTTCATTAATTTCATTTACCATTTCTGGTGTTATCCCATCTAATTCTGGCGCTTTACTGTTTGCTAGTTTCATTATGGCCCTTTGGACTTACCGAAAAGAGAAGGGATTGTCAATGTTGATGTTTATATCTCTTGCGTTTTCTGTTTGTATTTCTTTATGGTCTTCTGAATCCTTCTCAGGGTTGTCGTTTATGATGTGTGTGTCTAAGATGTCGTGAATGTTATCGATCATATTGTAATTTTGGTCTTCTTTATTCTGATTTTTAGTTAGTATGCTTGGAATGTTTGCTTTTTTTTACTTGTTATAGATGAACCAATAGGGAGTATTCCATAGGCCATTTTTGTTTTCTTCGGAACAAAAGTCTCTCCAGTAAGCTGCTCTCATTTTATTTATTTGTTTTTTGTAGTTTTTAAGCATCTTGTTGTATTCCCGCTTTAGCCTTGTTTTTTTCTTTTTGTCCCTCTCTTTGTAAAGTTTTGTTTGGATTTTGTTTATTATTTTTTTTTTTTGTTCTTTGCCAATTCCTCTGTCCACTAGTGTGTCTTTTTGTGGTTTGCAATTTTTTTCATTAGTAGATTTTTTGGCAGCTCCTATAATTGCCGTTGTGACATGCTCCACGTATTGGTCGAGGTTTTGTTGCCAGTTTGCGGGAAGTTATATTCCCTCCAGATATCGGCAAAGGTTTTCGTAAAAAAGGTCCCAATTTATGTGTTTTCGATAGTTTTGTTGTTTATTTTTAAAGTCTAGAGTGTTTTAAATTCTAAAAAATTACTTTTTAACATAACCATTACAGATTTAGTTAGATTCATAACAGGATGACTAGATGGTGTCCAAAGTATTGGGGGCAAATTATCCACAAACACTTATCAAGAGTCTATTTATACTCAGATTTAAATCTCTGAGAAGTACATACATGATCAATAATGAGCATCTACTGGTACTAAAAACATGTAAGGTTATAGTCGAGTAAACATAATTAACAAATTCTGCTACAGTATTGTAAAATTTTAATAATAATACCATCGAAAGGCAACATTTTTGTTTCATATCGAAGAAATGAAAAGCTACATTACAGAAAGGCTACATTTATATGATTAATATTTAACAATGAAGATTGGTAAGAAGCTATAGAAGCTGTTTACATATTTTATCATGGCTAGAGTTTGATAACATACTACTACCATCAATTGTTATGACACGTTGACATATCATATACATATCAACTCCTGGCTCATGCACCATTTTGTATTGGATGCCAGCCTTAACTTTAGCTATAATTCAAGTAGTTGATATAACAAGTGTATTAGGAAAAAAGGTAAATACTTCAGGTGAATGTAAATGGGAAGTATATGGAAAAGTCTATATGAAGACTGTTAATGTTAATAAATTACCATAACTGTACTGTACATAGTGTTGTATCTATCTCACAATGACATGTCAAGTGTTAATGTAGTAGCTATGCATCCAAAGCCACTTACATTTATTGAACTCAGTAATGAACCGCAACAGCATAGAGTGGTGTCTTCAGAGAAAGTCTGAACGTAACCACCCTTTGCGTCAATATATTTTTGAATGCACTGTTAGTTTACAGTAGTTTTTCAAAGCATTTCCCTATTCTTTTTCATAACTGCAGTAGCATTTCCTATCCAGACAAGAAAATGATCACAGGAATATATATTGGAATTCTTCTAATTTACCAATAAGCTAGAACAATTGACAATTGAACGTTGACACAAACAAACACTGTTTATATTTATATACATAGTTACAATGAGGATGAACGTGTTCTTCAATGGCTTAATGTTACTAAAAATGTTTGTAATTTTCATTAAATACTAGCTGCTGGAGTAAATACTTTCATTGTTTGTGTCAGTGTCAATTGAGATACCTCATCCTTCTTCCAGCCTCATATATAGTAGTCTATTGAGGACCAGGTGGAGAATATCTGTGGAAAGGATCTCGGTATCTCAGAGAGGACCAGATAGATATTTGTGCATTCTTCTCAGAAACTTTTATTTTTGGACAATGTCACTCGCATTGTTGTTCAAGGACTTACTTTTCTGACTGTGAGAAATAATCTTTTCTCTTGATACATCCTGTATTCATATATAGTAATATTGCATTATAATGGATAGAATTGTAGAAATTCTATATAGATTATAATATATACTTATATTATTTTTAGTGTGTTTCCATTGATTGGGGAAAAGGAAGCAGAAATCCTGTTGAATTTGTCTACTTCTACTCTAAAGAAAACATGGACGAAGCATTTTTATCGGAGAAAGAGGAATGGATGATACCAAAGATATTCAGAGACATTCAGTTGAGCATTCTGTGCAATCAGGAAAATGCAAAAACATATGAAAACTTAAAGAGAATGTGTGAAAACTTGGATATATCATCCCTGTAATTGAAATTTTGTGTTATTTTTATAGACTTATTTTAGTACAAAGATCTTAAATATTTATTTAGAGTAATATATAATTCTTATATAAAAATATTTAGTCACAAAATTTCTAAAGTATTATTTTGTTAATTTTTATCTTTATGAATGTTTTTTTTAAAGCAAACAGTATTTATTTGTAAGAGGAAGAGATAATTTTTGAAATAAAAAAGTTATATCTTCCATGACTGAAGTTTTGAGTTCATTCTAATTGTGCTGTGTATTTATTATTTACTTTCATGTTGCTTATCAGATGTATGTACAAGTCGACCCCCCTATAACACTGTTGATAATTCTGTTTTATATGAATTCCATGTTGTACGAGTCACTTAGATTTTACAAATATGTGTCCCAGGCTGTGAACGGCTCATGTATTTGTAAAATCTAGTGACCCGTACAATATGGAATTCATATAATACGGAATTATCAACAGTGTTATAGGGGGGTCGACTCCATCATGTCAGAGAGTGATATAAGCGATAGCTGATTTAAGAATCTTTAGAGGGTGCAAAGAAAGGAAATAAGCCTTAAAAAATTACTACGAGGTGCCCGGTTTACTCGGGAAAATTCCGCAGAAGCAGACGAAGCCGTTCCCTTTGTATCCGCGGATGTAAGTAATATGTGATCTTCTGAATGGTTACTGTAGCTTAGACCAACTTGTTAGTCATAATCCAGATTTGATCTCCTAGATTATCTGAATTTTACAAGTGCAACCGTGGATGAGATGGCTATGATTATGGGATGTTGCTTGATGGATGTTGGATTTAGTTGAAGCTGTAATTACCTTTGTGGGTGTTCAGATGGTTAGGTTGCTTAGAAGAATTAAAATGTTTCATCTCCAAACTACTGCTCGACCATGGTGTAATAGATCTTTAAGCCACAGTTCTTAATGTTCCTTATACAAAAGCCAGAAGGGAGATAATTCACACACAGAAAACATTTTTCACTTTACACAATTTCTTTTCTGCATGAAACAATAAGAGTATTGTTAAAATAGAATCAAGGTGATATAAATGTTTGTTTTGCAGAGTTTTACACAAAACACTAACTACTTAAGTGTTATCATTCATGTGATAGGAACAATGTATTGTATGACTTAGAAGATTTTAACACAAGGGCCATAAGAATATTTTATATAAGAATATTCGAGAGAATGACACTGCAAGTTTACTAATACAGAACATTTTATTTACTTTTGAGATAGGATATTCAACTGCAAGATAAGAACATGGTATAGAATAAATTTGAAAAACATACATTATAAATTTACATGCCATATCAGAAGAATTACACGTTCTAATTAAATTGTCGCGATTAAAAGATGTCATCAATTATATAACAAGTTGATAAAATATGTATTTTCACATAAAGATGGTTTTCTGGTATTGTCTGCTATTGTTTGATGCACTCACTCCTCTTTGTTCTGTTGTTGCCACTGATTGAAAGCCACTAATCTGCAACAGTGTTCTTCATATGCAATATTTTTCTGCAATCTGCAGTGTTCTTCAGTGCAATTCTGCAGGTGTTCTTCATATGCAGTCTACCTTCTCCACCTGATTTATTAATGCAAACAGTCACTCACGAACAGGTTTCTCCTATATATTCTCTTCTCCTGTAATAATAAAATTTTAAAAAATTGTTTTCTCGGTTGTTATTTATGTTTTATTTATTAATACTTACTGAAAAATACTTGACAAGACGTCTCTTGGCCATTGATTTCGTTCTGTAATTGCAAGTGATGCCATTTGACTACTTCCTCGGCATAAATTCTCATGGCAAAGTTCTTCAGTAGAGAGATTTTCATTAATGTAGTAAAAAGAAAGGATCTATTAGTTATTTCCTATGTGAATTATTTGCAAATACAAATATATTAAACTGCATAAAAATTATCGATACATGTATTATCGGCATTTAAATTACAGCTGTAATAGTGTATTACCTGCATTCTTGTTACTTTTAATTTGGAGGAAGTGAAATGTTAGCGAATGATCCATCAATTAACTGCTTACTCGATAATGTCGTTGCAAGACACGTGTCTAAACAATGACAAGCTATTTTATTTCGTAAAATGACGCATTCTTACAGCGTTAAAAATAGTATAAATTAGGAATAATTCCAAACTACTTACTGTAGAACTTTGACTTCTTTCTTACAAATACTGGTAGAGTGAAGAATAGTGTTACAATTGAATTAATGCAGGCATCACGTTAAAATTTATATTTACAAGAAAGGATGTTTTCGTTATAAAGGCGGTCAATCATTTCGTGCCAACCGGAAAGACCGATATTACAGAAGATATTGCATAATGTCTTTGAAAATTCGGCGTAAGTGCTCAGTAGATCCTGTATTAACGAACTTCTTAATCTAAAGAAAACATTAAAACTACATAAAAAAGGTATTTTGATAGAGTATATACAATACACCAAGTAATACTAACTCTATTACATTCTTTAAAGTCTCAAAAGCAAAATATCCTCTAAAACAAATGAAATTCTCTTGCAAAAAAGACTAATGTATTTCTGTAAAAAGAAAATAAATTATTAAATTGGAAGACAATAAGATTAATGAAAACATGAAGATTTTCAACATGCATGCCGATTATTAAGCTAAGAAAAAGAATATTTACAATACATAATCTTCAAGACAATATACAGTACCTCACAACAACTGGGGTCTTCCTTTCTTCGTATGGAGACTACTTCCGAGTCTGCTGATGTGATAGAGACTTGACGAGCGAAAAACTGCATCTCCCAAATTTATCTGTTATAATATAAAATCAAGAGCACAAAAAAAATGGCGTAGTACCTACAACGTAGCTGGAAAGTCGTCTACAACAATGCTTCAGTGTTCTGCTGCTCAGTAGGATGATTTAATTTCTTATCATATGGCTTTTCAGGCGTAGTATTTCTTGATTCCTTTCGGGGGTATCGTCTTAGCGGAATCATTTACATGTATAACGTTGCAGGAATAACAAATGGAAAGTGATAAAAATCATGCTTAATCTTCACAATACACGCTGGTTTTATATAGTTGCTTGTGGAAATTATTAACTAAAATACGCAGTTACAACGCTAGAAGAAAAAGCCAATTCTCTTCAAACGAACGACCCGTTGTTGGTGTGAAAACGTTGCAGAAAATCATGTGCAAGTAAACGGTATTAAAACGTTTATAAAAGTTCACGAAATATATTTGAATTTTCGCTTAATAAAAATTTATAAAAATTAACAAAGTTTAGTTTAAAATATAGATGATTATAAAAAGGAATAACATTAAAAATATCATATTGTATGAATAAAAGATCAAAAACCAAGCAAATTTTTAAAAAACAAAAACGATCTCTGCCTAAGGAGAGAGATGTGTACTGAAATGATCCATGAGGTCTTTGTATGCTTTGTTGTTTTCTTCATAAAGAAGAACTTCGTCTTCAGTGAAACGTACATCTGAGAGGGCATGAATAACTTTGTGGGTTTCAAACGAATATTCGTCTGTAAAATTTGTTCCGCATTCTGTGCAAACGTAAGGCGCATTTCTTAATGGTATATGATTTTGATTGTGTTTGACTAACTCCTCAAGAGTAGTGAATGCTTGGAAACAAGTATAGCAAACATGCACTGCTTCAGTGTGTGTTCGGAAATGACTGGCCACTTGATACTTGTACTGGAAAGCCATGTTGCACTGTTCACATTTGTGTGGTTTTTCTTTAGTGTGTGTCAGATTATGCGTCTTCAAAGCTGATTTGAAGGCGAAAGTTTTGGGGCATTCCGAGCACTGGAATCGTTTTTTCTTTGACTCCACCTGCACTTGTGTTGAATTCCCACTTTGCATAGTCGCATCAAAAATTTCGTATTGATTAATCAAATCAGAGAATTGGCATTGATTAATCACATCGGAGAATTGGAATTGATTAATCACATCGGAGAATTGGAATTGATTAGTGACATCAGAGAATTGGCATTGATTAATCACATCAGAGAATTGAAATTGATTAATCACATCAGAAAATTGGCATTGATTAGTGCCATCATGGATTTGGAATTGATTAGTGCCATCAGAGATTTGGAATTGGTTAGTGCCATCAGAGATTTGGAATTGGTTAGTGCCATCAGAGATTTGGAATTGATTTGTGCCATCAGAGATTTGGCATTGATTAATCACATCAGATTAGTGCCATCATGGATTTGGAATTGATTAGTGCCATCAGAGATTTGGAATTGGTTAGTGCCATCAGAGATTTGGAATTGGTTAGTCCCATCAGAGATTTGGTACTGGTTAATCACAGAGATTTGGCATTGATTAGTCCCGCCAGAGATTTGGTATTGGTTAATACCACCAGAGATTTGGTACTGGTTAGTCCCATCAGAGATTTGGTATTGATTATTTATATCTACGGCTTGAGTGGCTTGAAAAATTTGTGACATAGCTTCGTCAGGTGAATGGATGTAGCAGGAACCTCGTGGGCAACTCTCTCTTTCGTTATTCATTTTAAAATGTTTATATCTAGAAAAGGAGAAAATTATATACGCATAATGTAGAACAGAAGAGTATTTACAACTAAAGAAGGGTCATTTCCACCGTAATATGTTAAAAATTAAACTGACATAGTGAGTAGATAGACTGAGAAACTTCATATTGAAATCTCTCCGATTGAGAAACCAACGAACGTCAGAAAAATCTACAAAATCTCTTTATAGTAAGTACATTATTCTATTGAATATTCTTATTATTATTATATATTAATTGGTAATTAAGTATTTTCTAAAATTTCTAATCCATTTCTATTGTCTTGTACAGCACATTCGATGTTAAACTTAATAAATAGGAACAAGTACTTACAAAATTTAAAAGATTTCAGACTGAAACGAAGTTCTTCCTCTCAATTTCGATTTGTTCATACGAAAGGGAATAACACGAAATATATTTCATCGAGTCACTGCGATAAGAAGTTACTTTTAAGTAATTTGCATAATGGTCGCACTCCTTAATTGTTTGTATTGTATACTTAATTGTTTGTTTTTTTTTCCCGACAAAATATTTATTTTTCGAACAGGAAAATTTTGCTTTATTTCTGTCTCACATTTCTTTATTAATCATATACTAATATCAATGTTTTCAGTTTATTCTGTAAAAGAGAATTTGCATAAACGAAGGCTTATTGTTAAGCTTCGTTGAAAAATTTGAATGGCTTTTTATTATATTTTCGTTTTCTATTACTTTTAAATGATTTTTTAAGTAGAATTAAGAGTCAACACTAGCATTAAATCATCGATAATATAAGCGTGCCCACTAGTGGCCGAGTGGGTAACACCAATGGAAATTGGTCGTAGGTTTACGTCTCGCCAGCTACGGGGAATTTTCGGGTTTTCTTCACGTCTGTAACGCCTGAATAGCGGCCAGTTATCCTTAAAAAAACCTCCTGGAAGACATTTCCCCACAGATCACTCAAGTGTTGCGTTGCCATATTAACAAAACAAAAACAAAGGAAGATAACCAGTTCAAAAGCTGGTAATAAATGTGCTGCAACTTTAAAAAGTAAGTTTGAATAAAAATGCAATGCAAATAATACAGAAAGTTGCGTGTTTATATATTTATTGAATACGATTCGTTTATACCAATCGACTATAACATAAATATTAATAATTATAGTAAATAATAATTACGTATACGAATAGAAACTATAGACGAAAGCCAACAAATATAGAAGAATTGTATTACTCGACTTTTAACATAGGGTTATATACACAACAACGTGTATGAATTTACAAAACGAACAATAGAAGTGTATTTAAATTAATGAAAAAAGATACAGCAATTGGACACGAGTGGAGAATGGATAGAAAGTACTTGCCAATTAGTATTGATTCCCTCTGTCCACATAATAATACCCAATCTGTCAATATGGAATATGCCCACACCGAATACGTAACACTCACGACGTCGTGGCTCGGTGACTTTTTCTAGCTGTCGTCGCTAGCAATTATGTTCCTCATTAAGTTACGAACACGTGCGTAACACGAATACAATAATCTAATGTAATCATAATAATAGTACTTTGATCTTCTTCTACAAGTGCCATATCGGTTTGCAAGGTTGGCAATAATCATAGCCATCCTCTGACGATGACGATGGTGCTCTGAAAATTTGGCTGGAATTGCAGAACATTGTACTTTTTGTATGTTGTGGTCCAGGTACTAAACATTTCGTCTTTTAATGTTTAATACAAATTTTTTCAATTCGTCTTACTATGTCCGTATTGGTAACTTTATCCGTCCGTTCCCGTTGTGACCCGAATAGTAACTAAAATCTTCAATCATTTATATAAATTTAGGAATAAGTCTGTGTTTTGAGCATCAGATCAAATACTGCGATAAGAATTTTGGAAGATTTTTTTGTGTTGAAGTAAAATATATAAACGTGAGTGCTTACAGTTTGCAAGTAGCTGTCTGAAAAAGTATTCTGCAAATCCTTGTTGCACGGTTGAATAAAAATGACTCACGCTCCATGTAGAAACAATGCGCGCTTCTCTGTCATGCACGATCTTTCCAGCAAGATAGTACGAGCTTAAAACAGCGCGTTAAAAAACCCAATTTATAAATGATAAGAGGAGCAACAAATCCTTTTTAATTTCATTACAAGAAGCAATGATCAGGTCAACACATTGATCACAACTGAAAGCAGTTGTGTGTGTGTGTGTGTTGTGTTTTTTGCTTCGAAGGAATTCATAGCTTAACTAGTAAAAACAAATACGATTTTTTTTATTTAATAATAAATATACAGTAAATATAAATACAACGTTTTCATAAAGATGAAACTTTTGCTTCAGTTCTCTTTCGTCGTTTTACATCATCAGCAGTCTATGAAAATTCACGGAGACGACATTCCTTTTAAGCCTACTGCAATAAAAATTGGAAAATATGGTAAATCAAATACAACTATAAAATTTTTAATAAAAAAATGCATTAATTGCAGCAAGTGTCACAATTACAGAATAGCATAAACAACAATAAACTTAATGTAATATGTTGATTAATAAAAAATATAATTGAAGTGGAATGTGATAGTTGTAACAAAGGTCACTCACTGCCAACTCACTTGTAGTGCAATGCTATAAAGATTAGGAACAATTAGCGTAACTTTCTCAGCTATTATAAAAGTTAATTTTGAAATAAAACTTCACTTTATTAATCATAATAAAGAAAATTGCGTGTGCAGCCATCTGTTACGAGGTTTTATTATAAAATCTTTATATATTATTAATTCTTATATAGTAAAAAAAGCTTAATTTTCAGAATAGAGATGACTTTTATATATAAATTATAAATGCTAATAACGAGTAAAACTTTCATTAAGCCCGATCCCTCTCTAGATGTTACAGGTGACCACCCACTATCTCCCCATTTGCTCGATCTTTAACCAACAAAATTTAACAAAAACAATGTCCCGTATACACAATCAATAATTTAAAATTTCTTTTCTCAATCTTTATTCAATCCTGAAATTTTAAATGTAATACACACGTCTTACTTTTTTTAGCCCATTAAACCAAATCAATTACAATCAGCACCTGAAACAAACTATTAAACACTAAAACTGTATAGGGGATAATATAAATCTGTTTAAACTTACATAATAGAAATTCTAAAGGTAATTCATAACGAATGAATATAAAATGAACGCTGATGAAGTTTTATAACGCAGATACATTCATATCATCAAGCAGATATAAGCAAGCCGCACCACTTTACTAAGCGACCACTTAATATCATGCAATACACAAATTACCGTATTAGCCCGAATATAACGCGATATTTTTTATTTTCCGTTAAAAAATCGACTCGCGCTAAATTGGGGGTTTAAGTACAGTAATGGAATTTAATATAAACAAGGACATTATCCTACAGAGGTTGCCTGTGTTATTAGCTATACAGTAGAGCGTCGTTTATCCGAAAGCATTCCAGTCGGCAAATTTAAATTTTCGCTAGTGCTGTGGCGCTGCAATCTTCAGCTATTTCTTGGGTTACTCAAATATTTTACGTTTTTGATACTAAATTAACATCTGAAGTATAATTTTTAAATTGTTTTTGTATTTTTCAATATATTTATTTTGTTTGTACAAAATATAAAAATAATTTTTAACGATACAATAGTCTTCGTTAGGCTTAACATCGACGAAAATTTAACGCGAAGCGACACGCAACGGAGAAAATTTTCAACATTGGATAAATTAATATATTTTTTCGTACATGATTCGTTATCCGAAAAATAAGTTATCCGAACCACCCCAGTCCCCAATTGATTCGGATAAACGACGCTCTACTGTAATTACATAAATAAATGCGTATCTGATTGAATTTTACATTCTTTGAATTCTTTTATGAGTATTATTTTTTTTCTAAATATCTTTATGAAAATTTTGGAGTCGCGTTAAATTTGGGGTCGCGTTATATTCGGGCTAATACGGTATTAGGTAAAATGGCAGATAATTGCGTTTATTGCATGTTATGTCCGATATTAAATATCTCTGCACTTTTCGGCAACATATTTTTTGCACGCTGCAAACACCAAGAGCTTAGCGAGAAACACAAGAAATGGTTGACAATTTATGAAGAATTTCTGCAATTAGTATTTGTCGTACAGTTGATAACGTTAACAATGCAGAGATTTGGGACAGACGACGAATCATTGTTTTGTAGTCCGGCTGAAAAAATAGCAGGAAGCAGTTTGAATAATCCTTTCCATTTGAGCATGGTTTATCTTGCAGGCTTTACCACGCTGATAATGCTTCGTACTGGCACAAAATATAAATTAGCTTTCGATTTAAGAATTTCAGGGTATGTCGGAGAAAAAGAAAGAATGCAAAAATGGCAGACAGGCACGATTTTTCCGTCTGGCGCTACGTACATTTATACATTAATCGGTTCAGTCGTTTTTTCATTTTACATATTTAAGGCAATAGAACAGGATTCAACTTGGATACGGGCACTTTGCTGTTCCTTTTGTATTCATTACGTAATAATTTTGCAATTAGGCCTACTAATGTGGCTCATGACTGTATTGGTAGTATCAAGCATAATGATGTACGAAGGATTCAACGCAATATCGCGGCAATCGTATTTGGCTGTAAGACAAAATGCAAAATATGAAATTAATGATATAATGCGAAAACTCTTGGTAATCTGCGATTTAATTGATCAAACGAACGCTATATGGGGTAATTTTTACTTTGTTATTTACGGAATTGCCGTTTATATCGTATCGATCTCTTTTTATAACTCAATATTCACCACGTCCGCTACATACATACGAATATTTCTTGTACTTTGCTCTACTCTCTGCGTGTGTTTGGTGGTATCGATATCGCTTGTGGTTTTTCGTATCTTCACTTCGGTAAGTTCGAAAAAATATAACTTTAAAATATTAATTCTAGTTAAGTGTAAAGTAAGGAATTGTCGATGCAACTACAGCAGTGTAAATTGATTATTATACTTATATTAAATTATAATTTACGAACAATAGGCTTATGATTCTTTTCAAGAAATTCGGAAATTCAGTTCGATTTCTCTACCGTTGGAAGTCAATCTTAAGGTAAGTTGTAATTTCAAATTGTAAAATTAACAATGCTGAATTTTTCACTTTAAATTTATTGACAGGCGTTGAATTTTATGAAAAAGTTTCGAGAAAATAAAATCGGAATTAGTTGTGGAGAATTTTTTATTTTGTCTACAAAATTACCAATTCAGGTATTTGCATAAGATTTAAATGGGTGATTATATGAATATTTGTAACATCTAAAACAAATTGATGAATCAATCTTTAAAATATATATATGTAATAAAGTATTTTTATTCTATAGGTGTACGAATCGCTGTATAATGTTTTCAATATATTACTTCAGATACGAGATATTTTTGAAGGAATCGACAAATCGTGTAAACCAATCATAAAACCATTAATTAATGCCACTAAAAGTCCCCGACGTGTAGTTGAATAACGTATAATATAGAAAAATTTACCAGAATAGCACTATTGTTTTATACGAATTGTATAGAATTCATGTATTTTCGAATAATAGATTAGTAAACTGATTCAGCAACGTTTCTTTCGCACAAGAAGCATGGTAATCAGCCATCACTTCAGGATCTCTGGTATCAGTCTAGACTAGCATTCAGATTGCTACATCAATCATAATGAATGGTTGATAAATTTTGGATTGTGAGAATTATTTTTTTCATTTTTGTCTGGAAATTTCGAATAGTCGTTACAAATGTTCTTACTATGTATACGCGATTGAAAGATTCATTTATAATTCTTATTATTTGCAAATTTAAGCACCACTCATCTATTAAAACTCGAATTTTCATGTAGTAAATTTAAATACTTATCGAATTTTTTGTTTAAATAATGTATAATTAACAAATAATGAATTCACGTTAATTCTTATTTAAGAAAATTCAAATAAATATATTGTAATATTAGCTATAAAGTTCCTGAAAATCGTATGACTACGCATTTAATTTTTAATGATGATTTATGCAAATTATTCAGCAGTTCATTCACCGAAAGTTAAGGAAAATCAAAAGGACTGATTGCAATTTTGTCAAAATACTCGAGGGTAATTACGTTTATTTAATTCAAATTATTTCTGTACTAAACATTGAGGAAGTTTAGTTATTAACAAATTTAAATATTCTATATAAAAGATAAAACTATAATTAATTGAAGTTGCTTTTAATTACTTTAATAAAAGTATGCTTTACTTCATTACAATCTTAAAAAGTTATTGTTAGCACTCGTGGTAGTTTTAAAGCTTTTTTCTTCTCTATAAATATTATTTTATATTGCACTATAAATGCAGTAAAATTTCGTGCAATTTCGTAAGCAGTATATAAGATTATAAATAAGTTACAAATTTCTCTTGATATAGATGGAAAAGACAGACAAAATGAATTATAAATGTGAAATTTGTGACAAAAGCTTCAGTAGAAAGTACCATTTAAATATTCATCGAAGAATTCACACAGGAGATAAACCTTATGCATGTGAAGCTTGCGAACAGACTTACAGCAATAGTTCTAATTTTCGAAGGCATTTGATGACTCATTCTGAAGGTTGTCTGTTTGTCTGTAGGCACTGCAAATGCAGATTTAGGCTAAGAGAAGACATGAGTTATCATCTTCGAAGTCACCAAGGAGATAAGCCAATTAGCTGTGATCTGTGTCCGCAGCGATTTTCTGATCGGTCTCATTTAAATCAGCACATGAAAATTCATACTCGAGAAGGTTCTTACGAATGTAGTAAATGTGGAGCGAAGTTTAAGGAGAAGAAACAATTAAATTTACACCTTAAAATACATTGTGATGAGAAGTGACAGAAGGTAATGATGATGTAATCAACTATGATATTTCTAAGAATTTAATTGAATATATAAAAATTTTTCGGTTATAATAAAATAATACGTATTTTATGTTAAGACATTTTATTAATGTACAATGTATACATTATGGAAAATTGTATAGCTTCATATTTGTACACTGGATATGAAAATGCTCGAGCTAATCTTCAATATGTTATGTAAATACATATATATGAATGATTTAAGTTATAAAAATCAAGATGTAGTATATAATAAATCGACTAATAAAATTTTTTTGACTGCTTGAAACATTATGTTGCCCACCATTAGCCAAGTGGTTCTATTCCCTGAACACTAGAAGTTCAACTATGGGTTTGCACGATGAATTGATCAGGCATCGAAATATTCTTTTCAGTGTTTTTAAATAGTATCAAACCTCTTAAAATTTTTTTACAATTTTACACAAAAACAGATTTATTTCATTATTTTATATTCAATCGTACACTTTGAATAATAACTCGTTAAACTAATTAAGGAATTTTTATTTATGTTGTTTATTTTATGAAGTGTTTTCCCAAACTTCTTATTAATTTTGTTCCATAAATTCCATTTGGATAACGACATATTTAAGAAAAACAACGATAATTTGGAATTAATATAAAATTCTATTTTTATTTTGACAATCCTGAATTATATTCAATGGATAAAAATACTAAACACTGGTACTTTGTTTACAATTACTGGAATGCAACGTGCAGTTTTAGTCACATGTCTAACATAGAAACTGGAACCAGTTTACCATATGCAGTCTTCTTGAAAGGCTTACCCAATTGCATTTTCCCCACATCTTTCTTTCTTTTGAACCGAATTAATTATAATCAGCACCCGTAAAAACTATTAATTAAACATTAAAGCTGTAGAAGTGATAACGGATGTTATATTCATTCGTTTATGTTTAGTAATAAGCAATAATCGAGTTTCAGAATCAAATATATTCCATACGAAAGTACTAATTTGGATTCGCATGTCGATTTCTTTATTTCCATACATATAATATGAAAATGAATACTATAATCTTATGTATAGCACAGCAGAGTATAATATGAATCTGTCAGAATTTACATAATACAAATTCTGAAGCGAATTCATAATAAATTAATATAAAATGAACGTTGACGAAGATTTGTAGTGCAGATACATATATATCATCAAGCAGATATAAGCAAGCTGCACGACTTTACTAAGCGCCGACTTAACGTCATGCAATACACAAATTATTAGGTTAAATGGCAGATAATTATTTGCGTCTATTGCATGTTTTCACCTTTATTAAATATCTCTGCATTTTTTCGGCAACATATTTTATGCACGTTGCGAACACCAACAGCTTAGCGACAAACAAAAGAAATGGCTGACAATTTATGGAAAATTTCTGCAATTAGTATTTGTCGTACAGTTGACAACGTTAATAATACAGAGATTTGGAACAGACGACGATCCATTGTTTTGTAGTCCGGCAGAAAAAATAGCAGCAAGCGGTTTAAACAATCCTTTTCTCTTGAGCATGTGTAATGCTCAAGAGAATGGCTGTAAACTAGTTTTATTATTTATAGGCAAAATGGCTGTAAACTAGTTTTATTATTTTGCATCATCAATCTCAATGTCTTTTATTTATGATGGCTTTAACGTAATCAGGCATGAAGTTTTCTACTAGTTTGTTACTCAAAGTGTAAATGATTAAATTAACCTATAGTGGTTTCCTAATAATTTTCAAGCCCACTTCATTTTTTCTTTCAATGAACTGTATTTAGGTGTGGCAACTACGTTAAATTATAAATACTGATAACATATGATATATGTATCTCGCAGAAAAAATCTTTATCATGAAGATATTCTTTTAGATAAAGACATAATACGGAATGGACAATTAAGTTTCTGAGTTAACAGCATCATTCAGCAGTATCAAATATTAACCGTTTTTATTTTCTGTATTATGATTTACTTGAAAATATACATTCTAAAATTGGTGTGAATTATTTCGGCTCATAATAAGAAACTGTCATATTAGACACCGAAAAGTATGCGATATTGCAGCATTATTTCCAAAATTCAACGAAAATTTTGTTGTTATACAGTATAATATTTCTAGAAAAGTAATCAAATATAGTACGTATTATGAATTATTGTTGAGCAAAATATTTGCAGAGGAAAACAAATAACTTCAAATATAATCCAATCTCTGAATTGAATTCCATTTAAGAAATAAATTTTGTTTTGAGATGAAATTACTATCCAGCGGCTTTCTTAATAATAAAATTATATAAGTGTAATTTAACAATAAGTATCAACCACATCTAGAAAATAATGTTTTATTATTTGAGTAACTAAACATAACTACAAATAAAACTGCTAAAAGCTTAATTTTGAAGTTACAGATCAGTTTTATTCTCAAAAAATTGTACATTAAATGTAAATAAAATGTGCATTTAATCTAATTGCACTCAAGACACGACACACAACCCCATCTATTACCGAACACCCGTGATCTTTAATCAGCAGAATTAAATATTATTAATGTTACTAATAAACAAACTTCCGTGAATAATTTCAGAACCTTTCAAGAAAATGTATAGGAACCATTAAATTTTAAATTGGGTAAATAAAGTCTGCCACATTTATAGGCACACTAATATGAAGGCATACAGAAAAATTTTCAAGTTTTGTTTTTCATTTATACACGTTTGAAGATTCCCAGTGTTCAAAAATGTGAAATAAAGTTACTACTAGGAAAATTAGGGATAAATTGGTCATGTCGACTTAATGGTATCTGGACGACTAGCCAAGAGGTATATGATGCTTTTCTCAGGCTTGCTAAACGTGTGAATTACATTACGCATCAATCCATATATAATTAATTTATTTTGATTGATGGTACTTTATTCAATTACTGTTAGGTTAGTCTCTTTCGTAATTGTTTGTTACTAGTTGTAAAATTGCCATTTATTATTATGCTTTGATTTCTAAAATAATTTTATGAAAATTTTATTATCACTATTAACTATAAAGGTATATTTATTATACCTAGACGTATTTGTTTGTGTACAAAAACTTTTACATAACTCTAGTCTAATTAACATTAGTGTATATGGTTTAGTTTAGACTATATTGTATACATATATATATATATATTTACAAATTGTAAAGGTATATCTATTATACCTAATTATTTAATTTGTGAAGAAGACCTATAAATATTTTAATATTACCACTTTTAGCTATGATTGAATGGCCTACACTGTATATATATCTTGTATATTATATTACTATATAGATAATTTGTACATAAGCATATTATTCGGTATCAAACACTCTGATTATACTATTGCAAAACCTGAAGTTTGAATAACATGTGTACTCATTGTTTAACATTTATGAAGAACATATATGATGAACATGTTTGATGAATTTCAACCACTAGATATATACTATTCTTTTCTTTATCCGACTGTGGAGAGTGGACTCTGGGGGAAATAAACTGTGCGAAGACTTATGTTGTCTGCTGGTGGTCATACATGCAGTGATAGACTGAAAAGATATTCAAAGATTTTGTGCCTCTACAAACCTTAACTTTATTGTTGCACTTGGGTTCAATTTTTGCCAAAGAAACTTTCAAAGCAACAATTATGCATACTACTTATATTTTCTTTATCCAACTGTGAAAAATAGACTGTAATAGAAATGAACTGTGCGAAGACTTACATTATCTACTATTAATCATACGTGCAGTGATGGACTGAACAAACATTAAGAAAATTTGTGCCTCTACAAATCTTCACTTTATCGTTACACTTAAGATCCCATTTTTTGTGCATGGACTTTCAGTGTAACAACTGTAAGTTTATTTTCATATAAACTCGATTACATTTAATAATAATTAATTTTGTTAACTAGTTATTAGTACGTGTATAACATTGTTCATTTTGTTGCCGTTAAATTATTCTATTCTAAATATTCCAAAACAAACTATTTATTTTGTATAACTTTAATTATCGTACTTCTTAATATACTGAATTAATTTGTAATAATTGAAATAATTGTAATTGTATACTGTATATAATTTCACCTGGTAATGCTATGAAAGCGGCGAGGCCAGGTATGTACAAATCTGTACTAATAAAGCAACGATTGATTGATTCATTGATTGATTGTTCAAAAATGTAAATATCTCTAGTATTACATTTGATCGATCGCAATATATATACTTTTGTTATACATAACAGCCAAGTAAGTAAAATTAAATAATTAATTATGCCAACAAAGAAGCTTCATGCATATTTTCATTATTTCAGAAAACTATTAAAAACTCATTTATGTTGTCCACTATATTTTTGAAAATGGTAAAAAAAAACTATAATCTGAGAATATTCACAAAAGTGACTCTAATACAAGGGCATATTGAATCTCAAGCTCAATGTGGACAATGTCGTTTCAAAGTTGCCTCAAGATAACAAGAAACTTACACAACATGGCTCATTTTTGTACTTATGGTTCAATTTCTGCAGTACACTATTGTATTCCTGGGAAATAAAAATCGGCATGTGCACACTGATTATACAACTTTAAGCAATTTAACTAGCCAAAGAATAATGATTCCATTATCAAATAATAATAATTGTATATATTTTAAGGATTACCACTTTAATCCCGACTATTGTCATAAGCTTATAAATTCAATAATAAATAGCAACATAAATGTTATACAATATAAGAGAATGGAATCGACCAATTAGAAAATGCACAATACTGAATCGAAAACGAATTCTTAAGAAATCGATATAAAAGTAGTGTTTACGATTTTATATAACGCACATACTTTCTATATCTTCAATCAGATATAAGCAAGCCGCAGTACTTTTCTAAAGCGACAACTTAACATCATGAAATACACAAATTATTAGGTTAAATGGCTGATAATTGCGTTTATTGCATGTTATGTCCAATATTAAATATTTCTGCACTTTTCGGCAACATATTTTATGCACGTTGCGAACACCAAGAGCTTAGCGAGAAACACAAGAAATGGGTAACAATTTATGGAAAATTTCTGCATTTAGTATTTGTCGTACAGTTGATAACGTTAACAATACAGAGATTTGGAACAGACGACGATCCATTGTTTTGTAGTCCGGCC